TTTCCTTCTTTCTTTCTTTCTTTCTTCCTTCCTTCCTCCCTTCCTTCCTTCCTTCCTTCCTTCCTTCCTTCCTTTTTTTTTTTTTTTTTCTTTTAAGTTTTTATTATAGGGCACATGTACATGCCGGAGAGAAAGAGAGAGAGAAAGTGAGAAATCTTCCCCCATGGGGAATGGCCACGTGGCAACTCCTTCTCCTCCATTCTCCTTCTGGGATCTTGGGCACATGTGCATATGTACCCAGCTTGATTTTCAAGCCACTGGGTCCAGGATTCAAACCACGCCTGGCCATGTGGGAGTCCAGAGATGTAAACACTATGCCATCTGCTGGCCCCTTCAATGAGACCTTTCTAATCAGAAATCTTAAGGAAGAATTAGTATATACTGTGGCCGCTTGTAGCTGAGTATATTCTTACTAAGTTGGAGTAGGACTGAAACTACAAGATTCAACCCTTGATTGACCCCTGCCGAAGTCCCTCCTTGAGAGCAGGTACCGGGTCTGTCTAGCTGACAAATGTATCCCAATGACTGGACCAGTGCATGGCGCACAGCAGGTGCTCAGTGGACACTTGGTGAATGAATGGCTGAATAGCCCCCGCTGTTGTTTCCTTGTATAAACGGAAGTGTCTATAATTTAATGCCAATTCCTAGAGCTATTCTTGTTTCTTTTGGCTGTGTGATCTTTGACTATAGTTCCCAGAAATTCACAGCCCACCTTTACTAAAAAACAAATTGCTTATTTGAGCGACCATGTTTATCGAATAGATTGCACAGTAATAATTAAACAGAAAAGCTTCTTTCTTTCTTTCTTTCTTATTTTTTTTTTTTTTGAGTTTTTGCTATGGGCTGCTGTGCTCACTGGAGAGAGATATAGAGAGGCAGAGAGAAATCACCTGCCCTAGGGGAATGGCCATAGTATAATCCCTTCTCTTCCATTCTCCTTTCAGGATTTTGGGTACACACATGCACCAGCGTTATTTTGAGGCCGATGGGTCTGGAACTCACACCATGGTCAGCCATTATACCATCTATTGGCCCAACTGAAAAGCTTTAACTGACGCTTTTCCTTTTCCGGCCTCTGGCCTCAGTCCGGCTCTCTGCCCACTCACCTTTCTTCCAGACCACGTGTGCTTTCCGCAGCTTCATGATGAAGAGCTGGACGATGATGAAGAGGACGAAGATGAGGAAGGACACCAGAGTGAGCAGCAGTACGCCACTTTTCTTCCGGGCCAGGCCCACGTACTGAGGATTGGCTTCTGGAAGGAAAACAGGATTGTAGGCAGCTTGGATGTGGCTTGCTTTCTTTCCTTCTTTCTCTCTCTCTCTTTTTTTTTTTTTTTTGGTGTGGGGGAGTTAACTAAGGAACATATAAAAAATTTTTCCACCATGTAGGGTAGACTAACAGAGGGCTCTTATGAAGAGATGATAGGGAGCTTAACCCTGACGGTAAAAATACAAATAGTGTTCATTTTCTGAAAACAAGCAATTCTGTGGGATGATTTTGGAACTAGTTATTTTTTGTTTCTACATAAAGTATGTGAGACACTTAAAGGGGTCAACAGGTGGCATGGTGGTTAGGGTGACTGGATTTCCACATGGCTGACCACAGTTCGAATCTCAGAACTGGAGGCTTGCTTTCTCACTTTCTGTCTCTCTCTTGTCAACTTCAAAAATAAAAATAAAAATAGAAATAATGACAATGAATAAAATTAAGTAAAGTAATTACTAAAAAAAAGAAAGGTGACTTAAATTATATTCAGATTATTCAAATTAGTGGTAAGCAATGTATTCTTTTTTGAGAGATTTTTGCCATAGGGTGTGTGGGCTCACCGGAGAGACAGAGACAGAAAGCAAGAAATCACCCCGCAGTGGGATGACCATGTCACGATCCCTTCTCTTCCATTCTCCTCTCAGGGTTTTGGGCATGTATGCACATGCACATGTCCTGGGTGTGAGTTTCAAGCTGCCAGGTCTGGGACTCGAACCATGGTCCAGCACCTTAATCATTATACCACCTCTGGCCCCGATTTATATTTTATTATTTTTTTTTAGGTTATTGCCATAAGGCACATGAGCTCACTGCTGCAGACAGACAGAGACAGAGAGAAGGAAAGTGAGAAATCACCCCTGAGGGAGGATGGTCATACAGTAATCCCTTCTCCTCCAGTCTCCTCCTTGGATTTGGGGCATGCATGCCCACATGCCCAGCCTGAGTTTCGAGTCGCTAGGTCTAGGACTTGAACCACAGTTGGTCATGTGGGAGTCCAGCACCTTAACCAGCATGCCATCTGATGACCTTTAAGCAATGAATTTTTAGCAAGATATAGTTAAGTAGCAAGAGAGATTGTTAAGGAATTTGGAAAACTATCCCAATAAAAAGAAAATTCTATCATCTTCGTTAGTTACATGTGGCTAATGAAGGCATTGGAGGAAGGCATTGGAGTAAATTAGATGAGCTCTAAAAAAGTGCCCCCAGCAGTTGGCATAATGGCTATGTCGCTGAACTCCCATGTAGTCGACCGTGGTTCGAGTCCCAGACCTGGTGGCTTAAACTCACGCCAGGAGCGTGAGCGTGCATGCCCAAGATCCCAAGAGGAGAATGGAGGAGAAGGGATTGTGATGTGGGTGATTTCTCACTTCCTGTCTTTCGAGAAAACCACAAAAAAAAAAAAAAAAAAAAAAAAAAAAACAGGATAGTTTATTTAGGGACCAGCACATGTGCAATGGTTATGTCACTGGAATCCCACATAGCTGACTGTGGTTTGAGTCGCTGGCCCAGAGGTTTAAAACTCATACCGGGTGTGTGTGTATGGGTGTCCAAGATCCTAGGAGGAGACAGGATTGCTGTAAGGCCATCCCCCTGGGGGGTGATTTCTTGTTTTCTGTCCCTCTGTGTCTCTGGCAAGTGTATGCACCTTATGGGGAAAATTTCTCTTAAAAAAAGGATTTCTTATTTATTTTGATTTATTATTACTATTTTTTTAAAAAATTTGAACAGAGAGAAAGAAAGGGAAAGTGAGAAAGCAAGTTGCCAGGTCCAGCACTTGAACCATGGTCAGCCATGTGGGTGTCCAGAGCCTGAACCACCATGCCACCTGCTGACACCTGCTGTTTGGTTTTTTTTTTTTTTTTTTGGGGGTTTTTCACTGGGGGGGCGGT